ACTCTCAAAAAGACTGTTCTTTTTTTCTTTTCTTCTGATGAATATTACATCATACTATGAAGAGTTTATTTTTTTATCAAACAATATTTAAAAAATATTAAGGTAAGTAAGTATGTGGCGTTCTTAAGGTGCAGCTGGCTTTAGTGTGCTATATTGGTCTGGAGGAGGCTGCTGCAATGAATTTCTTTCTCGGCTGCAGGCGAGCGTCGATCCATTTTTCATTTTTGCCCTGAGGGTAATCGATGATGGGGGTGACGAGACAACAGCACACCCTGAATGAGAAAGGGTACTCCGAGAGGTTCAAAGTAGCCTGCATGCTCATTCAAATTCAGTCGGCTAAATCCTGAGCTTTCCATATTCCCAGTATGTTCCTGCAGAGAGTGCCATGGGGAGATCTAGCCGGGCCCTCCTTTTTTTATTACGGGCTGCACTCTGTAATGGCCTCAGGTCAGCAAAGAGGGCTGGATCGCCATTAATTCACATGAAGTCTGCAAGCGCTATACAGTACGCACAAGCATTTCTATGTGTAGCAAGGACACAGAGAGAGGCATCTAAATCCATGCAGACATGTTAAATCAATGATGCTCAGAAAGCAAATAAATCATATCGATAAATGATTCTCTTTTGCAAATAAGTTTGATCATGGATCTTCTGTTATATGGCTTAATTATCAAACACATTTCAAGTATCTTGCATTAAAAGAAACTCAGTGACAAACTCCCTCCAAAAAAGATCACATACATTCGAAAGATACTGCAGAAGTACCCAACATTATCCACATTTGGCACAAATATTAAAATGACAGAATGTTTAACTTATCTTTCAGATCCCAGTCTTCATTTATATGTTGTAAGCAGGATTTTCCTCATTTCAGTGTCGAGTGAGTTTTTTCAATGAGTTTGTTGACTTCATTGACCATAACAACTAAACGTAGCCACAGAGATTTAACATACTTGTAAATGGACTGATGTTTTGAAATGTAGAGTTCGGAACTTTGGCCTTTACTGTCTTGTTTTTTGGTGCCAGCAGTGACCAAATGGGACCGTAATTGACTAAATGATTGTGGTGTTTTGAAAAAAAAAAAAAATTAGCAAGAGACCACCCACTCATTAGGAACATTTTTACTGATGTAATAATTCAGATGAGACCCAAAGGAAATTTCTAATAGACTTCCATACCATCACATTTGTCTTGCATTGAGTGGAGTTGCCCCAAGCTGGTCATTAGACATAATGCAGGTTGAAGGCACTCCTGCTTTGTCTTCACTTATTACAGTCAGACTTTACGTGCACTTATTATATACTGTCACACTTAAAATAACAACATTAATGATTCTTTCATTCATTTATTGCCAAAATGAAATCATTTCTTTGTTCGATTGTAAAAATGTATAAACAAAGATGAAACATAAAATAAAACCCATTATTACCAAGTGCCAGGACAAATGCTGAACTCAGAGAGATTCTCGTTATTGTCCATCGTAAAATTCTAATGTGGATGTATCTGAGCTTATTTGAGAGTCTGATGGGAAAGACTCTCTGCTCTGGTACGGCATGCCCATGACCTTGACCATGACCATTCCTTTCTTTTTACAGAAATAGATCTCTTCAAGCTCCATTTACTCTTCCAGTCTGATTTTGAGCAAACTGTGATGAGAGGTTTAAAGTAACACAGACCCACTGAGGAGGTAGCTCATTAACACTCTGCTGCTGAGGCCAAATTTCATCAGGAAACAACATTTCTGCAAATGCTTGGCACTTCTGAAAATTGTGTTTATGTGTAAATAGACCACATCTGATGATCACTAATGGACTCACAAGAAAATGAAATCGCTTATTATCCAAATATTTTCCCCATGACTGCTGATTGGGCGATGAACTTTCTTGTTTGATGACAGGTTTTATGAAGTTCTTCAGCTAAGCTGTTTTTGCATCAGTTTTTATTGGATGTAATGAGTCACCTCTGGTAGGCAAGGCAGTGGTGTCATAATTACAATTGGACTGTTTTAGTTGAATCACAGTGAATCACAGTGCAGTCAGATCACAGTATGTCCTGCATGTGATCAGTGGGTGAACAGAGGCTCTGAAGATTTAGAGGTCAGGACTAAGAACAAGTGCTTTAATGGTACCTATTCAGTTCAGATTTGTGGTATCCAGTGGTTATTTCTTTCCCATCCCTCATTAAAGTCTACAATAATTAGCTTTAAAAAAGTATTTTTATAACCGCTACCTTTCAGGGACTGTTGGTGCCTAAATCTAACCAATTTGCAACCATTCCTTATCATAAATCATGTCTTCGGTACGCTGAAACCAACAAAAGCCCTTGGGTGCTGAGGGTGCCGAAGCATCCCCTAAAATCTGTCACAATTGAAATCATCAGCTTGTAGGGAAGTTTAACCTTATGTTTACCCTGTGTTATGGGATATGTAGATGAAGTAAACTATAATGTGACTTTCTAAGCAAATCAAAACACAGTTGCACTAAATTACAGCACTTTAGAAGGAAATGCTATTGGGAAAAATTAACATGATATCACAGTGCAACGAGAAAATCATGTTTTTAAAAAACAAGCATCTCTTGGAAAAGCCCTCCTTTGAGACTGACTTTGTTCTCGTACCTGGTTTCATTTTTAAGGTACATAATTTGCTAGTAACCGTGCTGACAGGTTAAACTGAAAGTCAAACAAAATAACACAGCAAAGCATCATAGACACATCACTGGGGATCTGAGGGTATACAGAAAAAAAAACAACTGAAATGTTGTTTGTGTCTACGAAAATGAAGTCTAATTTCTGCTACCTGTCCTGAAATAACCCTCTTATGTGTTTTTAATGTTTACAAGTTTCATATTCATCACCTGATATCAGGGTCCTGCTCTCCTGCTACCTGAAGAAATGTCAGACCAATTAAAAATGAAGTTAAAAGGCCAATATTTGCTGGTAAGAACTATTTCCATACCCTTTTAAGCCCCAAGAGGCTTTTTGACTTGTTGTAAGCAGATAAAAATAGATATGTGTTGTACAAAGGCCTTTTTTCAATTAAAAAGTACTGAAATGCCATCACAGCCCCTTCAGCAAGGCACCAGCTAACTTTGATCCACAAGAATGACCATGATGAGGCTGAAAAGTATCCTCCCAAGATGAAATATGTTGGTGCATTTAATGAGAAGTGTTGAGGAGACGAGGGATTTGGCTTTGATAAAAGTTGATAATTTCACAGCTGAATTACTTCTTTGTAGGCATTCCTTTTACTTGTCAAATTCGGGGGGGAGGCATGTGTCATGCTGCCAAGAGAGGAATACAAGGATTTTGGACTTGCATGATCAGAAAAAAAGGCACATTTTAAGAAGCAGAAGGCAGCCATTGAAAAGCTGTAAGGTTAAAAAAAAAGGGAACTGTTGTTGTGTTTGTCAAGTGATAAAAAATATTGTAATTGAAATGGTGCTCTTTTGGCTTGCGTCGCGATTCTGTGAGGCAGAACAGACAGCTCTTGTAAAGTGCACTTTACTCACACCTTTTAATTTGCTGCAATATTCTTCCCCGCTGTCACAGAAGTGGTTTTCATTGTCGCAGACCCACAGCTATTACAGTATTCCTGATGATATGAAGGGACAAAGCTGTCTAATCTCTCTCTCTCTCTCTTTGTCTGCCTTTCTTTGGCTGTCTCTTTATCCTACGCCGTCAGCCACAGTGGTCAGCTATCTGTGAGTGAGTTTTCTTTCTTCTTTTCGCTTGTTAGCTTAAGTGCTGCACTTGTGACCATATAGCGGCAGTCATTACGTTCATGATGTAATAACGAGGTTGTGCTTTGATATAGTCTTGTGGGAATGATTTAACTAAAGCTAGTTGACAAAAGAGGGGGGTGTTCACAGAAGGCTTTTGTGGATTTTGAAGCAAATAAACTGTACAAGTGAGACCAACGTACAAGAGTCGCTAGGCAACACAAAGTGCATCGTGGTGCTCTGATGCCGTTTGAAAGCATCTAAAGCAAATTTGCATACCCTCATTCAATTATTATTTTTTTTTAACAACACTCATTCAATTAAAAGTCTGATTTACATGAAAGCCATTCCAAGTTAAAGGGAAATAATTTTCACATATAGAGATTTGTTAAGTGACAGGCAATATTTCTAGATGGCGTGACAAGAAGGCACCCTTGTTGCTAACCTGGTAGATCATTCATCCAACACACTGAGGCTGAGTCCTCACTGCAGAGGTCCTCATTTTAACTCAAACCTCAAGCATTTTGCATGTTGGGCCCTCTCTTTGCCCCCACTTTCCCTCACTCTTCAGCTTTCAATATTTAATAGAAAACAACATTACCCACAAATTATGTAAGGGGAATAAAACCTGGACTGATCATTGCAACAATCCCCAACTTTGTGTGATCTTAGAAATATAAATGTCTGATTACAATTATTTGATTCATTCGATACTATTTTCATGATATGTTTCTATGTTTTTGGAATAGGGATGTACACAGCTACACCCCAGGTGGCTGTCCCCCCTTGTGGCTTCTAACAGAAAGTAAGCTGTTTTGCAGATGGCGAAACTGGTATCGCATATGTCGAGTCTGGGCTTTACAATCACCTTCAAATACCAAAGGCAATACCATGAGACTGTACGCTCTCTCTCCAAGCTCATCGTCTAAACAATGATATCAGCCAGAGAATGGGGCTATTGGCGCAGAAATTGAGGTGCTGACGGCTTTAATCCACAATCTGATGCAAAATAAGAGAAATGAAATTGCATTTATCTGCAAAACTTGATGTGGGTGGTTGTGCTGGAATTTAATTACAATGAGATAGAAAAGGCAATGTGCTGGAAAGTGAAGCACAATCCAGCAGTTGGCAATCCATATTTGTTCATTCAATCCAAAGTGTGGAAAATTATCCTTCCCTGCCTTACATTGTACTGCAGGCCCAGTACACATGTGCATGAGTCATACATTGCCAAACACACACACACACACACAGACACAGTTGCACACCTGAGGCACTTACCAAGCCAGTGTTCACCAGTGATCTTTCCAAATCCCTCACGGTAGGACTCCCATCCTCTGAAGAAGTTGACCGAGCCGTCCTCTCTGCGCTGGATCACCTACACAGCAAAGACAGCAAGGCAGGAGATCAGGGGGTCAGCTGGGATTTATCTCACACAGCGTGTTTCATCCTCCTCTGTGATGACTCATTCTCCAGTCCCACTCCACTCCTGGCCGCTGAGCTCATCTAGAACTCAACTAAATGAACTCATAAATGCTTGCTCTTTCACAAATGAATAATGCAAACACTCTTTCCACTAAAAAGTCAATTTGTCGGAACCTAATACAAGGAATCCATTAAATCAGACTGACTTTCAATGGAATTGCCACAGAATCTGCATCCTTAATTGAAATCCCAGAATGAAGATAAAATTAATAAAACAATCATCTTCAACACACACACACACACACACACACACACACACACACACACACAGACAAAGTGAGATTTATATCCTACTTTTAGTCAGTAAGAAATGAGCCCCCTTCACATGACGCCATTTCGTACAAATCAGGTTCAGGCAGAATCTCAAACACTTTCCTAGTTTTGTAGCCTACTGCCTTTTTTAAGAATTAATATCATATAATGTCCGGTAATAATACAATTGTTATCATTGGGCCATAAACAAAGTAAAGAAAAACATTTTTGATAACCCATTGGCTTTTATTATCATTCAACCACTTGCCTGCTACAATTAACTTAGCTAGCAAACATTCCTGCTAGCATGCTAAGAGTACCATTAGCTAGCCAACATGATGGATATGGGCGGCCTGACTGCTAGCCAGTCAGCATTATTGTGAAGTAGACATTGCTTAAGATCTTTACAACACTATCAAACTGTAATGAACTGTTCTACCATTACGTGAGCTAGAATTGGTTTAATGCTAACAGAAGCCGTTGTGAAATGTTTTTCCAATGGCTAATCAGTATTGTTGATAAACCAACGGTACCAGGTGGGCATATGTAAGTCGAAATGTACCCTGATGTTCATCAGCCCTGATTTTCAGTTGATTAATTTTTTCAGCTGATCAATGGAAATGGGAAATGCTAAAATCATAACATTCAGTAAGATAGCCTCTCTTTAGGCCATTCTTGAAACCTGGAACCCAGCCGTGGGTCTATTGCACACAATACTCTGACTACATCAGAGGAAAATGATTGCCATGTGAATATAATATATGGTATAAGAAAACACATGGCAAATATCTATCAATTTAACTCAGCAGTGTATAAATGTCTGAAGGTGCAGTATCTCTCTCCAGATATACTCCATTATAAGTGCTGACGTTTGAAGAGTCAGGCTGAGGATGAAAGGAAATTGGAAACTGAAGAGGAAATGCAAGCAGATGGAAAAATAGTATAGGACCTGCTGTTGGAGGGCTGTGTTAATGTTGAAATGACAAAGGCAATACCATGAGACAGTTTATGTTCAGCATGAATAGTCCCCTAACATACCACAAGGCACCAGATGGCACCAACAGACATATTTGCTTTTAACACCCGCGTCGACAAAGAACAAAAAATTCCTTTAGAGTAATGGCAAAATCTTTATGCTCATCATTTTCATCCACATAATCATCTTTGTGATCGCCTTAATCTTCATTACTGTGTCATCATCAGTTATCGAGAACATCTAGGGATTGTGGGGATTTTTCGACCAAATTCCTTATCTACTCGTTCTGAGCCATCAGGATTCTTCCAAACATGATTTTAAAGATTGATTGATGATCTAAAGCATGCAACATGCATTTTACTGCTAAGGCCATTTCTCAGTATTGTATCGGCATGGCAGCTAACATATGTAAATCCAAATTTGCCCCCATTCATTGGGTATTGATACCGTCTAAGTCGCTGCTCAAACATCCTGGAATACATAGCCTAATGCTAATGGAGCTTGCAAATGTTTCATATCAAGCCAAACTATTGGCTGTCAGACACTGACAGCCGTCTTCCTCACCGGGGGATGTTCAGCCAGGAACAACACACACACAAGCGTGAAGGCTGAACTGTAATGGTTGAGTTGTTTTGTTACAATTGATTGGGCGGGGAATGTGTTTATTATCGGTTTGAAATATATTATGTAATAACTCTCAGAGCTAACACCTCCCACTTAACACCCAACATCTAAAAAATGTTAAAAAACTTGTAAATATGTTTGCAGTCGTAAGCCCAACTGTTCTGTGGTTCCTGTTGTATGTAATTGTGACATTGTTTTTGAATAACCTCAAAGCTAATTTTCTAACTAACAAGCGCAAACAAAAACTTAGATTTAAATCCAAAACAGTCCAACAAAAATCCAGTGGGGAAACAAGGAGCTACAGTATGAGGAAACATATCTTAGAAAACGGGTAAGAAGACGTATAATCTGACAACAAGAGGGAAGGAACACTGAGACTAAATACACAGGGGTAAAATGTACCCATTTACACAGTCATTTCCCCCACAATACTATGTAATAGGTTCCTTGAAGTATTTATTTTTGTGCAGCTATGAGAACAATGGTTAAAATTAATTAGAAACACCAAGCGTTAGACACGAGGGCAATACGTGTAAGAATGATGAACCAATAATTTTGTAGGTATTTTAAGGCACAAGTAAACTATGGAATACCTTTTAATCTTCTTTCCCTTTCCATCAGGTCTCTTTTTTTCTCACTTGAAACATGCAGTTGACAACCATTTCTTCTGCTTGTGAATTCCCTGCACATATACAGTAACCCTGTGACATATTCTTTCTTCAAGGCCTGCACAATGTTCATGGTTTGCAGACTGCTGCAAGCAAGTTTTCCAGTAAACATAAACAAACAAAATAACGTATATCAGACGTTGCACAAGACTCCCACAGATTTCGCCGATCATGGTGCATTAGGCCATATAACTGACATGAGTTATCCGAAACTCTGTTGGTTATCCAGTGTAACTTTTTTCTACGGGCATTTTTATTTTTATCCCTTGGAATCTATTTTATAAGAAACTACACAAATAAATAATGGAGCTATGAAAAAACGTTGGACAAGTCATGCATGACCTATCTCCATTCAATGAAAAAGAAAAATCAGGAAGACGCTGATAGAGCAGACTTTCGCTTAACTTTCTCCATTTTCAGCCTATTTTTTATGCCTGTATGGTTTAATATCTTCATCCCACTGTTTATATACTAGCTTGAAGTATAAACCTTTTATTCAGTAAAACAATGTAGATTCATAAAGCCCTTAACCCTAGTGAAATCTTTCTATGGTGGTAGTAAATTATTTTATTTATGATCATAAGAGGGAACTATCCTGGCTAGAAAAGCTAGAACTGCAGTGGCTTCATGATTGATCTAATCCAAAGACCTTGAGAAACAGACCGTGGCATTTGACAGTGCAAACAATGCACCGTCATCATGTTACTGATATGTCAGCGGGGCACACAAGCACTTTTAAAGAGCCTGCGCCTGATGCTGTTTTCTAACGACTGCCTCAGTTAATTTGGGAGATTTTTTCTGTTGGTTCCTGGGTAAAGGCAGTGCAGTGAAACGTGAGTATCTTAAATCCAGGGGCCAACTGCATGTTTAAAATTCATGTTTCTAAACTCTACTTAAGGTAATGACCTTCCTTCTTCCTTATCTTACTTTCCTGTTCCTCTTACCCCTTCTCGTTCCTCCATTCAAATATACTGAAATAGAGAAGAGTGCAAATTGAAAAGGCTACGTTCAAAATTAGGTTTTCCTTTTTATTCACCCTTAATTGTTTTTTGCCGAACTCCCCTGGCACTCACTGTATTAGAGTGCAGTTTAGGAGGCGCGAAAATTGTATAAAAGTGCCCCCTCAAGTCAATACATCATCACAAACTTCAAGGAAAACTCTCCTTTTAACAAATTCACACCCAAGAAAGAAAAACTCCCTTATTTCCTTTGTTGTATTGTTGCAGGGAGAATGTTTTCAACTTTCCACAAGGCATACAATTGGGAGAAAAAACCCATTAAGTCACATTTTTTCCCCCCTTCAATTTGTTATTTTCTAGTTTTTTACGGTCGTCGGACATCCCTGTAACTTGCTTTCATGCCTCAGCAAACGTCTCTCTCTCTGGCATTGCTCTGACAGGAAACTTAAGATGCCGGTGCACCAGCAGTACCTGCTTCTATGAATCACTGCGGCACTCAGAAAGTGGCCAGTGGTCACATGAAGAAGTGCTCTACAGCGACAGGTTAACCAGAAAACAGTTCAGTTCAGATTAGGGTTAACACTCTTGTCTAGCTGACTCTCTGCCTCCCTCCATGTCTAGCATCCTTGTAAGACCGGAGAGCCTCTCTGAGGTTTAATTGCATGTTGACCCTGAAGGTCTCCCTCTGTGTGTGTGTGTGTGTGTGTGTGTGTGTGTGTGTGTGGTCCCTTGAGACTTAAAGCTCACAAGAACACCAATCATTTCCACTCACATGTTTCAAGAGGGTAAGGCAGTGGTGCAATTTGGGAACAGGAGGGAAGCATTGGGTTTAGGGAGCAGGTGTCACTGCTGTTAATATGACTGCATACAGTATGTGTGTCCATGCAGGCCTTCATTGGCATGCTTCAATTAATGCTAATTAATTTGTCTGCACCATTAAGTGTAAATAATAGTGTTCCAAGCCTGAGTGACGTCAACCATAGATTCCTGCAGGAGGATCTGGAGGCTCGTCGATGGCGATAGCTATTCTGAAAATCCTGTCTCAGCCTAACTTTCAGTCAACCTAATGACAGGCTAAGAGCTGGAGCTGAGGCGAGTTTTAAACGTCCTGATAAAACGCTACCAAGCGTCAATAAGGTCAGACTAATGCTAGCCTTACAGCTGCTGACTTTTCAAGCGATTTCAAAGTCACAAACAAACTTCCAAAGTCGGAATAAAATCTCCTGTGTTCTCCTGGAGTTGCAGCGTGCTCCCATGATCTCGATCCAAGTTGTTGTAAGAAACGTTTTCTCTGCATATTTTTCAAACATGTATGAAGCTGTGTAACAGTGTTAATAGGCATCTCAGAGCATGTTCGGTTCTCGTTCAAAATAAAACAATTTTCACAACACCACAATACTATTCAAAACTATAA